GGGGAGAAGGTGGGGAGGTGGGATTGAGGGATGAGGGGAGAAGGTGGGGAGGTGGGATTGAGGGATGAGGGGAGAAGGTGGGGAGGTGGGATTGAGGGATATGGGGAGAAGGTGGGGAGGAGGAACTGAGAAATGAGGCCTTTTCTCATTTTTGAATGTTACTTTCTGGGCAGTGAGGGACAGTGTGGTCTGGCAGAGATCTGAGCAGTTCAGTGTGAATGACACATTTATAAAGAGCAATCAATGCATCTCCACAAATCGGAGGTAAAAGATTACAACTATTGTGTATCAGGAAAGGGTTTAAAACAGAAAGAACAAAAATAATCATTTAATGACAAACCACAATTTCCATCAGGAAAACATGCAAATCTCGCATCTTCAATGTAGCAGATCTGTTATCGACTTCAGGAGACAGAAAAAAAATTCAGAATGTGCCTCCTTCAATCCAAAACCTCAGTGGGAATCAAGACCTCTCAATGGGATCAAGATTCAGACAGTCGGAATATCAGAGAATCCTAGAATTGCTACAGCACAGAAAAAGGCCATTTGGCCCACTGTGTCTATGCTGGCTCTGCAATTCACCAGTTGCCCCCATCATCCTGCAATGCTTTGTCTTCAAACCATTATCCAAGTTTCTTCTGAAAGCCACGAATAGAAGCTGCCTCCACCACAGACTTAGGAAGCAAATTCCAGATCTCAACAACTTCCTGTGTCACTGTCTTTTTACTCCGCCATCATTTCTTTTTCCAGTTACCATTACGTTGATAACTACTGGTTCTCAGCATCTGCAACGGTATCATTTTCTCCCTTTGCGTCTACTGATTAATCATAAGTCCCAGGATAATTGATGATCTGCCGATATGTCTCCTTGTGCTAACATTCCAAACCAGTGGGACTGTCACTGGCCTAGTATCTCAGAAACCCGGATAATACTCTGGGGACATGGCTTTAAAATTCTTTGTTCACAAGGGTGTAACCTGTCGAGGCTCACATTTATTGCCCATCTCTAATTACCCAGGGGGCAGTTAAGAATCAACCACATTGCTGTGAGTCTGGAAGCACATGTAGGCCAGATGAGGTGAGGACAGCAGATTTCCTTCGCTAAAGGGCATTAGTGAACCAGATGGGTGTTTAACAACACTTGACAGGGGTTACATCAGGCTAGCTTTTAATGTCAGATTTTTATTGGTTATTGAATTCAAATTTCACCATCTATCACAGTGGGTCCTGTGCCCCAGCACATTAACCTGGTGTACCTGCATAACAAATCTTGTGACATTACCACTGCCTCCCTTCAAACAGTTGCTGAACTTCAAATTCAGTTCATAAAAGGTTGACATGGAAAACTATTCTCAGCCACAGTGACCCTTTCAATAATCATTAATTGTTGTAACACCCTTCAGCAATGTGGTTGACTCTCAACTATCCTCTGAAATGGCTGAGCACTCCAAAGGTAATGAGGGATGGGCAACAAATGCTGTCCTTGCCAGCAGAACCCACTTCTCACAAGATGAATAGAAAACTCTGACAAGCTCCAACACGACATGATGGCTCAGTGGCTAGCACTGCTGCCTCATAATGCCAAGCATCCATGTTCAATTCCAGCCTCAGGAGACTATCCATGTGGAGTTTGCACATTCTGCCCATTTCTACGGGTGCTCTGGTTTCCTCCCGCAGTCCAAAGATGTGCAGGTTAGGTGGATTGGCCATGCTAACTGCAGTGTTACAGGGATAGGACTGGGTCTGGATGGAATGATCTTCGGAGGATCAGTGCAAACTCGATGGGCTGAATGGCCTCTTTCTGCACGGTAGGGATTCTCAATATGGAAGGTGAGTTTTTTGTGAAGAGTCACGTAGGGCTGGGAGTTCTCTGATTTTGTAAATTCAAGGTCATAAATCACAGCTTGTGTGTTTTCAAATAAACCTATTGGACTATAACCGGGTGTGGTGTGATTTCTGACCTTGTCAGCCCCAGTCAAACACCGGCACCTCCACCTTGTTCGTAAAGTCAGAATTCCATAATTTGAAGCAGGATTGGAGGGAACTGGATGTGAGCCTGCAAGAAAGTGTCTACAGGGAAAACACATCAATTATAGCTTACAAACGGAAAAAAAATTGTCAAAGGGGAGTAAATTTCTAGAAGGATCAGGAACAGGAGGGGCAAGATGGTGACAGAGTGCGATAAATTGAAAGGATCTTTCAAAGAGCTAACACACTGAGAGTGGGCTGAATGCCCTCATTCTGTGTTGCATTGAAAGGCAGGGGGCAATGGGTAAAAGTGAAATAACTCCACAGAAGCTGGTATCCTGTCACCAAGCCACCCTTTATTTACACGTAGTGAGTCCTTCACACTGATCCAGCTCCCTCACAGCCAGCTCTCAGAGTGAGCAGAACCCCTGGCACTCCTGGTTATAACTGTCAGCCAGGGCTCCCTGACTGGACCAGGTTAACAGCCCCAATCAGGGAACTCATATTCTATGAGGTCCACCTGGCTGACCTCGTTCCAATCACTGCAAAAGGAAACAATTCTTGGAGCTGACAAATAGAGGGTTGTCCACTAAATATCACTCCCTGACAATGAAATGGCAAGGCAAGGGCCAATTACAAACATGTGGGATATTCAGGAGCAATCTGAAATGATATTAAATAAAAAGTTGATTTTATCATAAAACAGCCGGCCTAAACAGCTGTCCCACCGAGGATGAATCAATCTGAAGAAGTGAAATGATTCCGTTAGTGACATATACAACTCACAGTCCTGGTGATTAAACATTTAGCTGAGGACAGGCAGTGCGGGGGGCGCAGGTATCTGAGTAAATCCATGTGGGATTCAGGAAGCCCCCGCATGGAATCTCCTGAATGAAACGCTGACCTATCTCACTGATCGCTACCATGCAGACTCGATTACCCGATGATTGGGCCAACGTGGAAAGCAGGGTGGGTCATTCAAATCTCAAGAGGTCATCCAAACATGGATTCCCCTCAAAAGCTCATTGGAAGAGGTAAAGATGGGGTTGGAGAATGAATGTGGCCATTCCTTACATGATAAGTACAGGAGATCAAACAGAACAAGACAAAAACATTTGGCACTGACCTCAAAATCACCCACTTTTCTTGTCCTTTTCTTCTGACTCAATTTTGGAGCACTGGTCTCAAGGGTGATGGTTACTCTTTAATACCATGCCCAAGGCAGGCTATTTGACCACAGAGGACCTCACATCACAGTTTGGAGCTGCCCTTGTCTCAAGAGGGACCAATATGCTTTTCCATTCACCACCCACCTCTTCTTTAGCCCCCACCCTGCCTCCAAAGACCAACACCAACACCATCTTCTGCTCTGAGATACTCAGGATCTCGGTGGTGACTCAGAAAAGCTTCTATCAAACTGTTCAGCAGCAAGCCAGTGACTGTCCATCTCGGAAATGGAAATAAAGGAAACAGGACCGGAAATAGGCCATTCAGCCCTTTAAGCCTGCTCTGCCATATATCTAACATTTTCTTGAAAGTATTCAATGTTTTGGTCCCAAATGCTTTCTGTGGCATGAATTCCACAGGGTCACCACTCTCTGGGTGAAAAAAAATTTGCCTCATCTCAGTCTCAAATGGCTTACCCCATATCCTTAGACTGGTGACCCCTGGTTCTGGGCTCCCCAGTCATCAGGAACATCCTTCCTGTGTTTGCCCCATCTCATCCTGTTGGAAATGTATGGGTTTCTGTCATATCCTCCCTCATTCTTTGAGAATCCAATGAATATAGCCCTAACCGATCCAGTCTCTCTTCATGCATTAGTCCTGCCATCTTAGGAATCAATCTGGTGAACCTTTGTTGCACACCCTCCATCGCCAGAACATCCTTCCTCAGATAAGGAGAATAACGCTGAGACTAGCTCAATCTTCCAGTTTTTAATTAATGGAAATTAAACTCCATCAATTGCCAAATGTCAATATGGGATTTGCACCCACGACTGCAGAATTACTCATGAAGTAGCATTACCACTCGAGTCACTGATGTGGGCATCACTGAGTAGCCCGTCCCCAGTTGCCCCCTTGAGAAGGTGGGGGTGAGCTGCCTTCTGGAACTGCTGCAGTCCATGTGCTGTGGGTTGACCCACAATGCCGTTAGGGAGGGAATTCCAGGATTTTGACCCAGTGACAGTGAAGGAACAGCGATGTATTTCCATTTTAGGATGGTGAGTGGTTTAGAGGGGAACTTGCAGGGGGGTGGCGTTTTCATCTATCTGCTGCCCTTGCCCTTCTAGATGGAAGTGGTTGTGCGTTTGCAAGGTGCTCTTAAAGAAGCTTGATGTGAATCCCCACATGAGTCCTCCATCTGAAATGGGTTCTTCACAAACTGAACACAGGCTATTCAAACGCCTGAAGTGGTTTCACAAACCTGCCACTGGCTTGATAGCATTTATTGCCCATCCCTAATTGCCCAGAGGGCAGTTCAGAATCCCATTGTTGTAGGTCTGGAGAGACACATAGTCCAGACCAGGTAAGGATGGCAGTTTCATTCCCTACAGAACATTAGTAAACCAGATGGGTTTTCCCAACAATCAACAATGGATTCATGGACATCATTAGATTCTTAATTCCAGCTATCTTTTATTGAATTCAAATTCCACCATCTGCCATGGCAGGATTTGAACCCAGGTCCCCGGAATGTTACCTGGGTATTTGGATTAACAGTCCAGCGATAATACCACTAGGCCATTACCTCCCCCTTACATTGCACCAGAATAAGACCTGCACTCCAATGGTTAAGTTACAAGCTGTGATCACACAAAATACGTTTGTATTTCCTGAAATTCTGAAGGCAAAGGGGTGACCTGATCAATATCTACAATGTACTAAAGGAAACAGAGTGGGAATCTGTATTCTGTATTTCTGGAATTAGATGGCACAGCAGACAGGATCTTACTGAATGGTGGAATTTACCTGAGGGGTTGAATGGCCTCCTTCTGTTCCTTTGTTCCCGACATCAAGCTGAGATCACTCGGCATTGAAATTTGGCTTCCAATTTTCTGTCGCTATATATAGCTCAATTTTTAAGCACAACTGCAGGCCATAGAGACTGGGGCAATTAAGAACTTTATTAAAATCCCAGGTAAGCAATTTTTCTTTTTCTGGTTAAAATTCACAAGATTTTGCGCTTGGTCATTTGCCACTTTTAAGCTGCTTCAGGGATAGTCTTTGCCTGCTCCTGACGAGGTTAGAATGGCCTTGAACTCTCCCTAACTGTCAGCAGAGTTACATCTGGCAATCCATCCATCCATTTTTGAACCAGAGGATCTTACTTCACAGAAAGGAGCCCCATCAGCCTATCATGTCTGTGCTAGCTCTTTCAAACAGTGGTCCCATTCATTCAAAGACCCAACATTCTCTCCTTCAAACCCTGCCAATTAGTTCTATCCAAGCGCCTTGTAAAAATTCCTTTGGAATCTGCCCTGAGTAAACTTTGAGAGCGTTCCAGACTTTAAAAACCCTCTGGTATGAAAATATGCCTGCTCAGCCTCCTTTAGCTCCTCTGGTAATTATGTTAAATTGCAACCTCTGGTTACTGACCCATTTGCCAAAGGAGAGAGTTCCTCCCTCTTTGGTCGACCAAAACAACTCAAAAAGTTTCAACAATTCAATAAAATGTTCCCTTAACATTCTCTGTACAGAGGAGAACGATTACAATGTTCCTGGCATTCCTCCCTAACTGAAATCTCACACTCCTGGTACCATCCTGCAGACTCTCTCCAAGGCCTTTGCCACCCTGCCTGAAACACGGTACTCAGGGCTGGACACATGCCTCCAGCTGAGGCCTAACCAAGTACTGACATAAAAAGGCTTTGCACAGCTTTCATGTTTTAGCATGCACTGTCCTTGTTCACCAGGCCAGGCAGCTTACAAGCTTTCTTCACCATTTTATCAAAAAGATGATTCATTTTGGTCCTGCTCTCCCAAATTCTTGATAGTCCAAGTCAGCAACAGCGCTGAGTTGGTCAAAAGTGATATAGACACCTTGGGCTTTCAACTTCCTGTGTTGACACTGGAGTCTCCAGGTATGAAACGGTTAATCTCCTGTACACAATAACAAGCAGAACCCATAAAAACCTAACTGTAGGGTGCAACAAAATTTTATCACTTCCTTTGAACACTTCTAGTTGTCAATTAAAAAGGAACGGCAAAGACTGGATTGGTTAGGACTATATTTCCCAGAGTTTAGAAGAATGGGGAAGGGTTGTGGGAATCTCATAGAAACTAATAAAATTCTAAAAGGACTAGCCAGGACAAACACAGGAAGGATGTTCCCAATGACCATGGAGTCTAGCACCAGGGGTCACAGTCTAAAGATACGGAGTAGGCCATTTAGGACTGAGATGATGAGAAATGTCTTCACCCACATAGCGGTGAGCCTGTGAATTCTCTATCACAGAAAATGGTTGAGACCAAAACACTGAACATTCTTAAGGAGTTAGATATAGTTCTTGGCACTAAAGGGATCAAAGGGGATGGGCAGAAAGCAGGGACAGGGGATTGAGTTGGAAGATTAGCCAGGATCATATTGAATGATGGAGCAGGCTCGAAGGGCCAAATGGCCTACTCCTACTCCCATGAGTGAAAAAGGGCTGTTTGAGCAGCTGAGGTGAGGCAGGAGAGAGTAAATGTGGCAACATTTCCAGTTGGAGTAGCCAGACTACAAAGTGCAGGAGAGCTGGTGCGTAGCCATGCAGTGAGTGGGCTGTCAGCTGCCTTGGCGATTCTCATGGACCAAGAACCAATGGAATGGCTTCCCTGGAGAGCCACCATCTTGAATCCAGCGAGTTAAGGTCCAATAAGCAGCAGGTTTTGGCAGGGCAGACCGTCCCCCCACGCAGTGGCTGTCCCAGCAATGAAAATCATTTCCGATTCAAATTGCCAGTTGACACCTCGATATTAACAGAAAAAGTAAGAGTCAGACCTGTATTTTTCCCTCTTCCTGGTATCACAGTGTACATCATAGCAGAGGCACATTGTAGCTAAGATTCTAATTTTCTACCCAGACTGTTTTAGTGCAAGAGTGACAACAAGTCCAGGGTCACCCACCACTCTCCAGGAATTAAAGGGTTAAACAAACAATATGTCAGGAACAAAATCATCATTTAAAAGTAGTACAACCGTGGCACTTTGTTTTCATTTCCTTTGGACTCTTTGTTGATTATTGAGGTTTTGGCAGATGGTGAGGATTAAGAATTGATTAATTCAAGATTTACCAACAAGACAAGGAAGGATCTCCTTGCTTTCTGTTTGGTTGAGAAAAGCAGTGGGCCACTGAGCTAATCATGCCTGCTGATCCATGTTGGGTTTATACATTGGGGTTTGAGCAGGTTGGGGGTAGGTCTGTGCTCAGCTGTAACACTTGGGTGCACAGGTTCATGTGGCAAAACCTCAAGGATTACCTCCAACCCGAGCTGGACAGCCTCACGCTCCCAACGGAGGAGCAGATAGATTCTGGGCATGAACGTGAGACGGGGTGTGCAGCACCAGTGGGAAGACCCTGGCGTGTTGTTTGCTTACCTCGCACAGTGAGAGTTGCGGTCGCTTCAACCATCCCCACACGGTTCTCCCCAACACAGGTGAATGTTCCTTCATCACCATTGCTCACCCTCTTGATGCGCAGGGTGTTGTCTTCCTTGATGTCATACCTAAAGGTTGGAAAAAGATTCCATGTGAGATGATGTTTGCTATTCCTTTATAGGCCTTTCATGGGCACATAGGAACAAGAGTAGGCCAATTGGCCCTTCCAGCCTGCTCTTCCATTCAATAGGATCATGTCTGATGTGATTGTAACCTCAACTCTACATTCCTGCATCTTCCTGATAATCATAGTAATCAACAATTGATCTACGTCTACCTTAAAAGTATTTTTAGGATCTTTTCTGCCAGTGTCAAATATGTTAGGTTGGTGTCAGCTGCGGCTCAGTAATTCATGCTCCCTAACTCTGAGTCAAACGTTGTGGGTTCAAGCCCCACAACAAAGACTTGACCACATATCAGCCATATCCCATTGAATGGCAGAGCAGACGCAATGGGTTGAATGGGCTTCTTCTGCTTCTCCATCTTAAGGTCTTACAATGTAGGTTGGCACTGCAGTGTGGTAATTTATTCAATTCTTTCATGGTGGGACCAGTCTTTGATGCCCATCCCTAATTGCCCTTGAACTGCGTAGTATTTCAAATGACAGCTGTGAGTCTGGAGTCAAATGTAGACCAGACCAGGTAAGGATGGCAGATTTCCTTCCCTAATGGGTGTCCTTGTACATCAGTCATTGAAAGCAAACATTTGGAAAGGCTAATGGCATATTGGCGCTCATTGTAAAGAGGCTTGAGCTCCAGAGCAAAGAAGTCTATCTGAGGCTGTAGAGGACCTTGGTGAGACCACGCCTGGAATACTGCTTCCAGTTTTGGTCTCCTCATCTGAGGAAGGACGTGCTTGCCAGATAGAAAAGTTTCACCAGACTGATTCCTGGGATGGCAAGTTTGTTACATAAAGATAGATCGGCTCAACTGGGTGCGATTTCATTGGGGTATAGGATAATGATAGGGAATATATAAAATATAAAATTCTGATAGGACTAAACAGATTGGATGCAGGGATGATATTTCTCCTGGCTAAGGAATCCAGAACAAGATGTCACAGTCTCAGGATATGTGGTACCCCTTTTAGACTGAGATGATGAGAAAGATTTCACTGAGAGTGGGGGGTCAACTTGTGGAATTCTCTGATATCGAGGGCTGTGGAGGCCAAGCCCCTGAGTATGATTAAGTGAGACACAGATACATTTCTAGAGGCTGAAGATGCCAAAGGAAGAGAAGACAAGAGTCTTGCATTGAAATAGAGGGTCAGGTATGATCATGTGAATGGTGAAGCACATTTAGAACATAGAACATAGAACAGTACAGCATAGGAATGGGCCCTTTGGCCCATAATGTTGTGCTGAACATGACACCAAATTAAACTAATCCTGTCTGCTTGCCCTTGGTCCATACCCCTCTTGCTGACCTACTGTTATTTTCTTAGTGGGTTTTTATGACTATTGATTATGGTTTTATGGTCATCATCATTATGAATTGGTGGGATTTGACATCATGACCCCAGAACATTAATCTGGTCCATTTAGATTACTAGTCCAGTGATATTATCACGACACCACAATATCCAAGAGTGCTGCCTTACAGTTGAGACATTAAAACGAAGCCCTATATGATGCATAAGGTGGGTTGATCTAATGGCCCTGTCTTGAAGAAGATCATGGGAGTTCTTCCCAACGTCCTGGCCATCCCTCTCTCCGCCAACATAAAAGTGCAGATTATCTGATCATTATCACATTGCGTAGATCAGAACAGGAGGAGGCTGTTCAACAACTTGAGTTTATAATGACATTGAGTGAGGTCATGACTGATCTGTGGCCTAACTACATTAGGGCACTTGACACATAGTCCTTCATCTTTTCGGTTAATGAAAATGTATTAATCTCAGAGTTAATAGAGTACAGGTTGCTTTTTGTGGAAGAGAGTTCCAAACATATACCAACCTTTGTCCATTGACATGTTTCCCAATTACTCACTGTTTAGATGATATGCTTCTCTTTTGTTCTTCCTGCCAAAATAGACAACTTTCATATTTGGCTACTTATTCTTCATTTATTCTTGATTTATTAATTACTTCTTTATCATATCTCATTTCTCAACTGCTTCCATGCCTTGGTTTCCTGAAATTAGGCCATCCCTCTCTATTGCGCTAATAGCATCAATAACTGGTACAGCCACCCCTCCACCACTTACTATTTTCCTCTCATTCCCAGATATCCTGTACAGTCAAAGATTCAGATCCCAATCCATATCATCATGCAGCCATATCTCTGTAATAGCCACCAAATTGTACCCATTCATTTCTCTTGGCCCTCTTTCTTCATCTGTTATATTTTGAATGCTATGTGTGTTCAAATACAGAGCCTTTGGCTTTATCCTTTTATTCTCAATGTAAATTCTAGACTTACTAATTGGCTGATTCTTAGATTGATTCTCTTGGCCCTTTTCTGTCACAGGCTGTTTCTCACTTATCATTTTAATAACATTCTCTTTGACCTTGACTGTATTCTTTCATTACATCTTCCCACATTTGATTCTTTACCTCCACTACTCAGTTTAATGTCCTCTCTACTTCCCTAGTTATATGGTCGTCAAGAACACCAGCCCCAGATCAGGTAGACACTCTGTCATCTGTACAGATCCCACTTTCCCCAGTACAGCAGCCAGTTCCCCTTGGACCAGGACCCAATGTCTCCCACTCCAGTCTTTCAGCCATGAATTCATCTCTCCAATCTGATTCACCCTGTACCTATTTGCCTGTGACAAGAGAAATGATGAAGAGATGATGACTTTGAGGTTCTGCTTCTCAATTTGGCACCTAGACCCTCATTACCACCATGCAGAACCTTCCCCATTACCATGCCTATGTCATTGATACCTACATTGACCCCAATGACTGGATTCTCCCCCTCCCACTGTGAGTTCCTCTCTAGCCCATAGCAAATGGGCAGCCATCTGGACACATACTCTTTGTTGCAGAGAATGATGTCAATTCCCTTCTCTAAAGTGTTCCCTACTGTCATGACATTTCTCCTGCTGCACCCCGTCTTGAGGAACATCTTGTACCATGGTGTGATGCTCACTTAGCTCGTCCACCCTGAAACCCCCACCCTCATCCAAACAAACTGAAAGAATCTCAAACTTGTTGGAGAATGACAAAAGCTGAAGCTATTGCCCTCTGAGTGTCCCTCACTTCCTCATTCACAGTCACTCCTTTCTCTTCCTGAACACTGACCAAAATCGAATGGTCTAGCCCTAAGAATCACAGATACCTCTCCTTGCTCCCTGAGGCACCATGGTGTTTGTAGTTCAGCTTCCAGCTCACAAACCCTGAGCCGAAGCTGGTCAAACCTCAAACACTTGGCACAGGCACATTTGCTCTAGACCAAACTGGCATCCAGGAACTCCCATATGCTGCAACGGTGATGCATCCTATCATCCTTAATGTGTTTTCAGGTATGATTTAATCATTGTATTCAACCTTTTTAAATATATTTGGTAACCTTATCAACAGCTGCTTTACTATTCTGAGCCTTATGAACAGAATAAGCCTGAATCACATACAGACACCAATTAACCAGCTTCTTCTCCTATAGCAAAGTAAGAACCAATTTCTGGAGGGTACGAAAGTTTTGGAACTGACAAAAGAATACCTGTGATTTTCCTTCCCTTAATTCCTGAAGTACTTAACTAGGTTGCACTCAAGCGCTACATCACACTAAGTTGGCTACTTCTGTGTGCTCCTAACACAAAAGGCCTCTCTGATTCAAACGCAAAATCAAACTCAGCCTTAAATGTATTCAAATACCAGCATCGAGTACTCTCTGAGGCAGATCAGCAGGTTCCCGTCCCTTAAAGGGAGATTATGCTATTGCATTTTTATTCCACATTTGACAGCCTCATCATCATTATGATTCATTTCAACCTTCTATTTCCAGATTGTTTTCGCTCTGAATTCAAGTCTCCTGGTTGGAAGTTGAATTCATGTTCTCTTGATTACTATCCAGTTATTCTGGAGGGTCTGAAACACTAGTTGCACCTCTGATGGGCTCATCACTGACCAATCCTCAAACAAAGAATTTGCCACGTGATTCAATGCCAAGGGTCAGATATGCTAGGACTGATGCTTGGGACAACTTCTGCACATCAGGACAACAACAACAGTTGGCATTTATATAGTCCCATTCATATAGTTCAATAGAGACAAGATCCTTCACAGGAATGCTATAGAAATAAATTTGTGACAGAGTTCCCATAAATAGATGTCTCATGACCAAAAGTGATGTCAGTTTTAAGGAATGCCTTAAAGCAGAGGGGGAGATAGAGAGGGTGAGGCATAGGAACCAAGTAGCTAAAGGCAGGGCCACCACCACAGGGGCAGTTAAAAACGAGGATGTGCAAAAGGCCAGAATGAGATAAATACAAATCTTGGAGAGTTAAAGGGCTGGAAGGGGTTACAAAGGAAGCAAGGGAGAGGCGAATGAAAATATCTGAACACAAGGAATTGAATTTTAAAATCAAGGTGATGCCAGACCACACACCAGGGTAAGTCAGAGGGCATGGCGCTTGAAGGGTGAACAGGACTGGTTATGCATCGAGGATTGGGCATCAGAGTTTTAGATGATCTCCAGTTTGAAATGAGAAGTTGGCCAGCAGTGACTAGATGGAATGTATTGGGTAGGGCCAGAGTGGGTGAGGCAGTCACATGGAATACTGGGGGATGTAGTACACATCTGACAACTTCGCTCTGGATTATGATTGCTGCTACCTTCACATACAGCTAGGAATGGAGGAAATAGGTACAGGAGTAGGCCATTCAGCCCTTCTAGCCTGCTCCAGCATGCGATAAGATCATGGCTGATCTGATTTTAGTCTTAATGCCACTTTCCTGTCTGACATCCCAGTGCTCAGGGACACCCTTGCCAATCAAAAAATGTAACTCGATCTTGCATATATTCAAACACTGACCCTCTGCTCTTCACTAAGGAGGGAGAATTCATCTGAATAATGACCTTGTAACAAACAAACAAAAACACCTCCATCTCCACCAGAAAAAGGGAAATATCTTATTTTTAAACTGTTCTAGACTCTCCCCTAAAGGGAAGCATCCTCTCAGTCACTGCCCTGTTGAGCCTCCTCGGGATCTTGTATGTTTCAATAAGGTTTTTCTAATTTTGCTAAATTGCAATGGTTAAGGGCCCGAACTGTTCAATCCTTCATCCTGAGAATGAGTCAGTGAATAGTCTCCAAATTGCTTTGAAAACAATTAAATCTTTTTTCAAACAGGGAGATCAAAACTATAGAATCCTTACAGAATCATAGAATCCCTACGGTGTGGAAGCAGGCCATTCAGCCCACAAGTCAACAGTGGTCAAGGGTTATCCCACCCAGACTGAACCCTGTAACCCTGCATTTCCCACGGCTATCTCACATAGCCTGCACTCCCTAAATACTATGGGCAATTTACTA